TATCAACAAAGCGTGCACTTTGTGGAAAGGAAGCTTGGAGAGAGTCATGGTTGACATGGCTAGTGGAAGGGCCGCCTCAAAAATTGTGAGTTTATTTGTTGATATTTTAGTTGTCATGTACATAATAGTATTTTGCAACTAATTGTTTTTATATATTTGTTGCATAGGATGACAAAGCAATGGCAATTTACAAGACAAGAACTACATAAAAAAATCAAGCTTTTAAGTTGCATCATGCTTGGAACATCCTCAAGGATTGTCCGAGGTGGGGAACCGATGCGAACCAACAATGTGGAAGATTATTTCATAATGAAGCCCCACCCCCAAATGATGTCAATGAAGGTGTGAATTTTGCCGACAATGAAGGTGTCGAACAAATGACCCCAACTTCTTCTTTTGCAAGGCCCCCGGGTAGAGATAAGCAAAAGGAAGCAAAGAGAAAAGGGAAGTCCCAAGATCCGACACGTGCATAATTTGCTAGCGAAATGGCAATAATGAACGAAATCCAGTCCCGTCGGCAAGAAGAATCGGCCCAAATGCTTTTGGCCATGAAGGAAGAAGGGGATAGGGAGCAAGAAAGGTACGAAACTAATTTGATAATGGAGGACCTCGACAAATACACTCCAGAGAGGAAGAGATACTTACGTGGTAAGCAAAAGGAAATTTTACGAAGGAATGCCACAAGGAGTATATTTCAAGATGATGATTCATCTCAAGACTATCACCCAAATCCATCACCAAGTCAAGATGGTGAATATCATTATTAAGTTTATGTAGTCTATGAGTTTTCGATTGTATTAAGTTTATGTAGTTTATTAATTGTTTTTTTTTATTTTTTAAGTTTATGTGGTTTATTAATTGTCTTTTTTATTTTTTAAATTTATGTGGTTTATTAAATGTCGTTGGTATTAAGTTTATGTGGATTATCTTGATTTTCATGTATTGATTTAGTGATTTTTCAAAATTTATCGGAATTTAAATATTTTTAGGTTAAAATGTTCATAAAATTAATTTAGGATAGTCTACATAATTTTTTTTTTTTAAAAAAAAGTTAATTTAAAAAAAAATAGCCTTAATTTATTCTTTGATAATCTGGGCTAAAATTTTAAGCCAAAAGGGTTGGAGTAGAAAAGCTGTTTCTGGGCTAAAACCTAAATTTTCTGGGCTAAATATTTTTAGGTTTTAGGTCACCATTGGAGATGGTCTTAAGAAAGAAAGACATAATAAGGCTTGGTTGCGGGAACCGACGGTGACGAAGGTTACCGGGCCGATGCGGCCGGTTACCGGGAACCGCAAGGTTGCAAGGTTCCCGGGAAACGACGTTCCTTTTGTAAAGTAGGCCTTTTGATAACTAATTCGAGTTGAGATGAAATGGATCACGGAAGAAGACGTATCTGATGAATGAATGATTCAATCCCCTCCCACCCGCACGGTTCCTCTATTGAAGGGGTTCCACTTCTTCTATGTGAGGGGGGGCGTACGTAAGAGCGGAACCTAGATCTTTGTAAGTTTTCTCTGCTAATCATCTGCTCGGGTTTTCGGATTTGATGAAGTACTAGGTAGCTAGTCTTAATTCCAAACTTCATCAGTTTTATATATACCCGCAAGATCGCATGATCTCCTTCATACCTATTTATTTCGAACAAGTTCAATTTAAAATCAAAACTGTGTGTGCATATAGGGGGATCGACTCAATTTTGAGACGCAAAAGTCAGTTACCATGGGAGGACTGCTGTAGCTATCATGTCGAGGATTGGTATTCCTGCATCTCAGAAATTGTTGAGAAGAGCAATTTATGGCATCGCAATTGGCTCTAACGACATATTGTTTGGGGAGACATCTCCCAAGCCTATGTCAGACAAAGCTTTTCTGGATTTATTGATTTCACGACTCAAATTAGGACTCAGGGTAAAATCCTAAAAGGCTAATCCCTAGTAGTTTTGGATTATTGAATATTGAATGCAACAACAAAAACACATACCAAAAATTAAGGAAATTGGCCAAAATGATAATATTTTCGAAATTTCAATTACTGAAATGGTCAGTTTTAAAAGTATTTCGTCGATCTTTGATTTTGATTAGTCAACAATTAAAACTTGATTTCTGATCATTTTTAGTCAATCTCCCACAAAATATTCCCTGGTAACATAAACTTGGCCCTTTTTTCCTTGCAGACACTCTACAACTTGAATGCAAGAAAGTTTATTGTGGGTAATGCTGGACCAGGTGGGTGCATCCCATGGGAGAAAGATTTACATTTCCTTCGAGGGGGAACTTGTGCTCGTGTAGTAAATAAGATGGCCCGGATGTACAACGACAAGTTAAAGCGCTTGCTCGTTGAGCTTAACAAGGATCTCAAAGGGGTATCCTTTGTTTATGCAGATATTTACCAGATATTAACAGATCTCACCGAAAATTATGTATCATACGGTGCGTAGATTCCTCGCATTATATTTTGAGGGCATGAAACTGCAGCATTGTTCATTAATATATCATGAAATTAACAACTAAGTAACAATAGTAAGTAAGTACCTTTGTTACGTTTCTTAGGGTTTGAGAATGGAATTTCTGCATGCTGCTCAACGGCCGGGCCCCGAGGAGGACTAATCCTTGTAATCCATTAGCTAAAGTTTGTCCGGACAGATCAAAGTACGTATTCTGGGATCCATTCCACTTAACAGAGGCTGGTAATCTCATTGCAGCAAGGCATATAATGGATGGTGACTTAACTTATATGTCACCAATGAAATTAAGACAACTTATGCAATCTTGACCAGTGGCCTGGAAACCCCTATATGAAATTTGATGTGGCTTTTGAAGTACCATTATGAGATAATGAAGAATAGGTTTCTTAGACTTCTCCATTGGTAAAGGCTACAAATTTAAATTTGGCCTTGACTCAAACAGTTATTTTGCCTCACCCTAGTGACTAAAATTTGAGTTCCCAGTTTTATGAATTGTTTTAACCTTTTTTTTTTTTAAGTTAGTTTTGTGTTTAGAGACTATCTTGATTTATTTTTGTGAACACTTTAATGTAAAAAATTAACTCCGAAAATAGATTTAATTCATTGGAACATAATCAACATTATTGTTTTTACTGTTGATTTTAAATTTGGGTCGTTGGATCAAACCTTTATTGTTAAAGATTTAGTTTGGGTTTTTTTTTTTGGTCAAAGATTTAGTAACCCACTTAGTAGGAAAAAACTTTGTTGTTGTTGTCAAAGATTTAGTTTGGGTTGTTTGGTGATATCAATTCAGCTATAAGAAGCTTGTAACTCAATTTGTTAAATGATATTTACGCTTACCCCAGGGTCTCGAGGTTTGATAGCCCTTACACCCAAGGTCACGAGATTTGATACCCTTAGGGCCTTACCCTAATATCACTTGTATTACATGCCTGCTTTCCATCTCTTATTCAAAGAAGGAATTCAACCATCGATCACCACAACATGTGATTTACAAAATATGACACAAGTAGATGGTATCTCTAGCCTAGCATCACTCGAAGAAAACATCAATTGGTGAAACGTTAAAAATAAAATAATGTGACAGAACTCAAATTTGTATCTGCCTAAACACATATTAACCAGAGGAATTTAGCCAAGAAATAAGACAAACCCAAATTTTAATCCGCCTAAATACATGAATTAGGGGTGATTACCCCATCCTATTGGAGATTGTCTCAGAGTAGCAAGTTCCATAAATCGAACCAAGTTGTGGTGCACAACCTGTTCCCTCTATCTGTCGCCTCAAAGAAAATGACATATGCACCTAGTTGCCGGTAACTCTTATGCCTTTATTAGGCACCGGTCAGTCACGCAGCTTATAAATGCCGACTGGTTTATAGGTATTGCCTGAACTGCACTACAAGAATCCGAATTAATTAACTACTATTCCTGTAAAAGATTTGTTTTAGGCTATGAGTTGCTGCAAATTTGCTCCAAAGGTAAAGGAAATATTCTTATTTGCATTAAATTTCCTCCATATGATATTCCTATTTACTGGTTTGATAGGTTCGTTGTTAGTTGAAAGAAATAACTAGTGCACGGACTGCACACTTGGGTTCCAACTTTAGCCACTTTTTTTCTTTTATTTGGCCTCATATGTGCAAGTGCAACTTTAGTCACTTGAATATGTACTTCTTTTGGCGTTGAAACTGCATACCTGCAGCATTGTCCCCGGGTGGTGGCTGCTAATTTTGCAAGGCAATCAATATTTACAAACAAGAGGAGTGTTAGGATCAGTCTCATACAGAGTTGATCATGACTATTATTTATGCTTGTGTGTATCCGTTCATACATGTGTGCACGATTTATTCTAGCATTTTCCTTACAAACAAAGTTGACACCTCATATTTTTATGACTTTTGTGTTTTACTATATACTCTTATGTTGAGAGTATCAATCTCACATTAGGGGAAACGAAGTAATTGGGCTACTCCCCATATTTCCAATTAGTTTTATAATATAATTTCAATTTTCTTCTTCTTCACTTACGCAATCCTTAATCATCACGATTCAGGGTCTTATATCATCCATGTATATGTACTTAAAGTGAGGTTAATAAATCTTCTTTTGTTAGGATGAGAAAAAATACCTCACTTTGGAAATTTACTAACTCTTGTGCTTATAAAGAGATTGAAATATCAATTAATTTTATTGTGGAAACTCAACTTCCTTCTTTGTCTTCAACTTAATTAGTTATTATTTTGGTATTTTGAGATACCCTTTTGCTAATATTAAAAGCTGGTCAAAGCACTCTCTAACTTAGGTCTGGTTTGGTACTGAGGTGATTCTGAAAAAAGCTGTAAGCTGTTTTTGTGTTTGGTAAACATTCAGCTTCAGCTTTTGTTCACAGTTTTGGGTGAAAAAAAGCCAAAAACAAGAAGCTGCAAAACCCAACTTTGAAAAACAGGCTTTTTTCATATTTTTTTTTACATAAAAGTTTACCAAACACTATAATACTGTTTTTTTTTCTTTTCAACAACACTTTTACAAAAAAAGTTTACCAAATACTCTACTGCTTTATTTCACAGCACACCAGAAACAACTTTTTTCCAAAGCACAACAATATCAAACCAGCCCTTAGTAGCCTGCAACTAATCATATTTCCTCACATTATATATTTCAATTTCCATGTAAGAATAGCTGCTGATGTTGCCTCCTTTTAATCTGTGAAAGTTTTGTATTATCTTTCTTCACATTCTTTGCAATGGATGACCTATCAAATAGAACAGTCACTAAGCTTGGAATTTTCTTCCAAACTTCAGCAAATTTTGTGCTCTTTTGGAGAATATGCTTGGCAAAACAGGTTCCTGCTAATTTTGTGTTTGGGGATTCTTTGGTCGATGCGGGAAACAACAACTACCTTCTCCAAGGCCAACTATCTTCCCAATGCAATCGATTTCGGAAAGCCAACTGGAAGATACACAAATGGAAGAACAATTATTGACATAATAGGCAAGTTCTCCATTTTTTTTTTTTTTTTATATATATTTTGTTCCTGGTTCTTCATTCTTTTTAATTGATTTTAGTCTTTACAGGTCAGAAACTTGGCTTCAAGGGTTTCACTCCTCCTTACTTATCTCCAACAACTGCCGGGGCGAAAATTCTGCAGGGTGTAAATTATGCTTCTGGTGGAGGTGGAATCCTTAATCACAGGGAAGATTTTTGTAAGGCTTCTTGTGCTCTATACTCAATATTTGGAGTTTTTATTTATTTGTACATACAATGCTTTAATGTGACGTAAACCTCGTGCAATTTGATAGGGAGGTCGATTAAGCATGCATGAACAGCTAGATTTCTTTGCTAATACCAGGCAAGACATTATCTCCAGCATTGGCCTTCCTGCAGCTCTGGAGCTATTAAGCAAGGCTCTCTTCTCCGTAACAATGGGATCGAACGATTTCATTAACAACTACTTGACGCCGGTGATCTCAGCTCCTGAGCAAAAATTGATACCTCCGGAAACATTTGCGGGAATTTTGATTTCAATAAACAGATTACAACTCACAGTAAATTTACTTTCGTTTCCCTTACTTTTTACATATGAATATTCAGCATTGCAGTTTTATGTAATAGACGCGTTACCCTTGCAGAGACTGTACAATTTGGGAGCAAGGAAGATTCTTGTGACAAATGTAGGACCAATTGGGTGCATACCTTATGAGAGGGATACAAATCCTGATGCAGGAGACTCCTGTGTCGAAAAACCAAATCAGTTAGCGCAATTGTTCAACCCCGAGTTGAAGAGCCTTCTCATGGAGCTTAACGCCAACCTTGAGGGGTCCAAATTTGTTTATGCAGATGTTTATCGCATTGTAGATGACATTACTCAAAACTACATATCATATGGTGAGAATGTCGAGAATGAGTTCTACATTGAAGGGAGGAGGGACCTTGCTCGAGCTTATAAGAGGTTGAGCGACTTCCTATATTGCCAATTATAAGCTCGTGCAAGGTCCCTCCTTCCATCGATGTGGGATTCATTCTCAACAGACAATGAGAAGGCCATATGAATATTTTCAATTTTTCCTTACAGATCGAAGTGTGATGCAGTGCTGAATGTTTTTGGTTATGTTAAATGCAGGTTTTGTGAATGAAAATTCTGCATGCTGCCATATGGCGGGGCGCTTCGGGGGTCTTATTCCGTGCGGCCCTCCGTCCAAAGTTTGCAGGGAGAGATCTAAGTACATATTCTGGGTTCCCTACCATCCTTCTGCTGCTGCTAATTTAATCATAGCAAGGCGTCTCTTGTATGGGAACTCCAATGACATTTCGCCCATCAATGTTCTGCAACTTATTCAGTCTTAATTAAATCTGTTGGCTAAAGCAAGAGAACAAATCAAAGGAATGATGTTAATTCTTCAATAGTTATTTAATTATTATTTTTCTTCTTCTTCTTTTGGGTTCATAATATATAAATCTCATTATTTTATAGGGTAGTAAATTAGTAATTGCAAAGCATGGTTGCAACTAGAAGAAAAAAAGGACAGAAAAGAAAGAGTATTAAATTATTGCCCAGAACAGCTTGTTGATTATATTATATTTGTTGTAATAACAAGATTCATGAAGAAATAAAAATCATGATGGAGGTTTGAAAATTAGAGACTTGAGACACCAGATTTTTTTTTAATTTAATCAGTTAAATGAAAGACAAGTGGTCGATTGTCTTAGTAAATATGACTTTCTTTTTTAACTTATTCCAAGTTCAAACTATATCTACTCCAATTTCCTGGTGTAGATTATAATAATATTATCGTGGGAATGATTATTGGCACTCCAAAAATCTCATTCTACACTCCAAACTTTCTATATTTGGAAAGAAAAATACATTTGTGAGAAATGTAGAATGAGATTTTTGAAGTATCAATAACACTTTCCTATTATCGCATGTAATAAATAAATAAATAAATAAATAAATAAATAATGAGAGACATATAGTGGCCTCTTCTCCATCCATACATCCATACTATCCCAGTTTAAGGCATACGTAGCCAATTGGGCTACCTTATTACAATTTCTAGGATTGGATGCAGTGAATGACAATTGAGTCGCTAAATTCTAAACGCTTGATGTCATCGATAGGGGCTGCACGATCATCAACATAGTAATCCGGAACATGTGTTAGAATTCACTCTACACAGCTTTTGCACCAGTCTCCACCTCCACGTAAATTGAAGATGTCTAACTGCCACTTTCGTCACCTTCGGCCCGAAACATCCAGCACATGACTACTAGTTACGATGTCTAACCATCTCTTCCAACCATCATTACCACATGACCCATCAGTGTTTATTTTGAGTCAAACTCCCAATAATTCTGTCACCTTCGGCGACAAACATCCGGCACATGGCAGAATCCATTAATTTTCTCAATTCATTTCTTGCCTAATGTTAATCAATTTTATGCAATGGATTCATTGCTACCGTAGCATAGTCAGACAATCGTACCCCACGTAGAAGAGATGATGCCTTCATTAGTGAATCTTACGTCCTAAAAGCTCTTTGCCACGAGTGGTAGAAACTGTCAATCACACTCACGTACAAGGGAAGACTTGCATGCATACCCCAATACCCACTCTCTTCACTAATGAAAAATGTCGTAAGTTGAAACATAGATGTGCTTCATCATTTTTTACTCATCTGTTTGAACTTGAAAAATGTACCAAACCAGGAAAGAAAACTCGTAAATCAAGCAATTAAGAGTGTTTACTTTCTATATATGACTTTTGATGATGTGTCACGGTTTGTTTATTTAGATTGCTACATTTTTAATATAGAAAATTTCATTTTAATCCTTGACAAAGATGACTTTTAGATTAAAACCATGAGTAAGATCAAAATCTAATTTTAGTCCCTTGATACATTAATAACCTCATTTATTAATTGTATTTTGATTTTTTTAATTATTTCTCTTTTTCTTCCTAATTTTTAATGTATTAATTTTATTTGATTATAATTTTCATTTTCATTTTATTATCGTAATATATTTTGTTGTAAACATTTAGATAAATTAACTTTTGTTATACAATATATTTTGATGTACTTTGTCTTCTTCATTTAGGTACATTAAATTCATTATAATACATTTCAGTGCATACATTTAGGTACACACATTTTGTGACACACCCCGACCCGGAATGTCAATTAAAACTCCGAATCGAGCTGTGATGGCCGCCACATGGAAGGTGGCGAAGCCATAAAGTGTAGTGATATGGAAAATGTGAATAAATTTAAGGTGGCGAAACCAACATAGCTCGATTCGGAGTCCTAGTTGACATTCTAGGTCGGGGTGTGTCATTTTGGTACATATATTTTGATACAAATATTTAGGTACATTAATTTAATATAATACATTTCAGTGCATATATTTTGGTACACAAATTTAGTTACATTAATTTAATATAATACATTTCGGTGCATATATTTCGGTACATACATTTCGACACTAACATTTAAATACATTAGTTTAATATAATACATTTTGGTACTAACATTTAGGTACATTAATTGAGTCTTTCAAATTTAAAGAATGTTAAATAAAATTAATACATAAAAAAAACTCTTTTTTGGTCAAAAAATAAATTAAAATTTGTATATTAATAAATTTAAGTATTTACTGGGAGACATTAAATAAAATGCACATTAATTATTTTGAATTAAGGACAAATTAAGAAATTATAATCAATATGTAATCTAACATCAACTTTGTTTTAAATTTCAATCTTCTTAAATGATTAAAGTTATAAAAAAAAAAACCCCCTTTTCAATATGCATACATTCCATCTTCGCCGAAAAATTCCCCCACTGGCCAAGGGGAGGGCACACCCAACATATGGGGCCAAAAGTTGCAGAGAAGTATTTTCTTAGGTCAATGGTCGAGTACTTCTATGCAATTGCTCAAGGGGCTTCAACTCAACCATCTCCAGCGGAGCATCCCATTTTGCATGCATTGTCCTCCGGTCAACGGTGGGGCCACCGAGTGTATGACTGGATGCTCGAGCATCAGCCGCTTCTCTCACAAGGGATTGTCATTCCTACTGCGGCTACATGGCTCGGCTATCAACTGCGCGTTTCAGGTAGGGTTAGGTGCGTTAAAGCTTGGGCTCACAGAGCCAATGATTGGTTAGTCAGCCGTCTCCAAGCGACTCCTCAATGGCTGAATCACGCTTGAATATTCCGTCGTGATGCGCCGAGGGAAGGCTAGTCGAAATGCGCAGCGCCTTGCTGGTGGTTGTGACCGTTCTTGCAACGAGTCTCTATGGTATGGGACTGATTTCTCCAACACAAGTGTGAGAATGCTACCACAAAAACTGCCTCAGCTGGTTAAACAGTTGCAGTGGTGTCCCTCTTTCTACACATGATTGTGCAGCTGCACTAAAAGTAATTAGTGTCCAACTTACTTGCCTCTGCTTTAAGCAAGCGTGGTGCTGGTGCTCAAGGTAATCCCGACTTCTCTGATATAGATGTTCTATGATTGATTATGTTGCCAATCGGCGCTATATATGACATCTTCGATCGACATTTTGAAAGTGTTCGACACCGGATAATGAAGATTAATTAAAGAGAAATCACAAATGAACACTCAAGGATAAACAACTCGTCATTTTAAGAAATCCACAAAAGAGATAAGAGTTTACGGATAGGAAGAAAAACACTCTTCACTAAACCAAGTTTAAAAGTAATTCTTAATTTCTAAATGATTTATTTACATACATGAGTAGGGGTTTTAAATAGTCTAGGCATGGAACAACCTTCAACCTTCCATGAATAGGTTACTAAGCATGAACTTAATGTAAGACTAATCATGAACTTAAATGAGAACATGAGCCATCTTTGAATTAAATATGATGAATGCACCATGTAATAATTAGATGAGTCAAGATTCAATAATAATTAGACAAGTCCATATTCGGTGTCATACGCTTCTGCTGCACAATAACTTGTCCCTGAGTTCTCTTCATCTTCGCAACCATGATAAGGAGAAAGGTCTGCAACATTGAAGGTTGTTGATACTCCATAGTCTCCTGGAAGTTCAATCTTGTAAGCATTGTCTCCGACACATTGGACCACCTTGAAAGGACCATCAGCTCATGGTTTCAGCTTCCCATTCTTGCCTCGAGGGAACCTTTCTTTGCAAAGATGAACCCACACCAAATCTCCTTCTTTGAATGTAGCCGGCTTCCTGTGCTTGTTGGCTTGCCTTTGATAATTCTCATTTGCTTAATGATATGTTCCCGCACCTGTTCATGTAATTTCTTTGTATACTCGGCATGTTCTTCAGCAGCTCCACTGAATTGATAGCTTGTGGGTAGTGGAGCTAAGTCTAGAGGACTTATTGGATTCCGTCCATAAACTGTCATGAAAGGACTAGAATCAGTTGTCTGACTGGTAGATCAATTGTGGGCAAATTCAACTTGAGCTAAAACAAGATCCCATTGACGAATATTTTTACCCACCAAACTTCTTAACAAATTTCCCAAACTTCGGTTGACCGCTTCCATTTGCCTATCCTTTCGGGGGTGATGGGAAGAACTAAACTGTGAAGTAGTGCCTAGCTTTCTCCAAGGAGTTCGCCAAAAATGCCCAACAAACTTACTGTCTATGTCAGATGTGATTGTCTTTGGAATGCCATGAAGCTTGACAATTTCTCGACATTGTTATAACTCCAATAGGGATGGAGTTGCACGATATTGCTAATTTCCAAGCGAAGTCCCCCAAGATAACGAGCAATGGTTTGCTCCTCTGGCTCAACAACGGTGCAGAGCTTTCGGAGTTTGTCAAATTCTGTTGTATACTCCTCCACAAACTAATCTTTTTGCTTGAAATTGTGAAACTTAAGAAAAGAATCTTGTCAATAATTTTCTGGTAGAAATTTCTTCTTCAATTCTCTCCTCATCTTTTCCCATGTTACAATTTTTCTTTTTCCTTCATCAGCCCTCTGCTTCTTGAGATGTTCCCACCAAATTGAAGCATGTTTCTTCAATTTGATAGCCACCAGTTTCACTTTGCGATCTTCTGCCACATCCTTGTAATCAGATATTCTTTCCACGGTATTGATCCAATCCATGAGTTCTTCAGGCTGCATCTTGCCTTCAAATTCTAGAATGTCAACTTTGATATCAAAATTTTGTTGAAAATGATGACGCTGTCTACAATCATTCTCATCATCCGAGACTCAATCATCACCACCACCAAAAGGATTCTCCTCCTCTTCATCGGATCCATCATTCTTTGTTTCATGACGGGGATCATCATGTTCCAGAGGTTCATAGCGCTCAAGACGCTGCTGAAGTTGCTGCACTTGTCTCCTTAGGTCATCCATCTCAATGTCACGTAGATGTCTCTCACGATGTGGTGAGTACTGGCAAGCTTGTCGGCCTCCACAACGCCCATGCCTCCCAACCATGATCGGATAGAGCTCTGATTACCAATTTGACACCGGATAACGGAGATTAAAGAGAAACCACAAGTGAACACTCAAAGATAAACAACTCGCCACTCTAAGAAATCCACCAAAGAAACCAAGTTTAAAAGTAATTCTTAATTTCTGAATGATTTATTTCCATACTCGTAGGGGTTTTAATAGTCTAGGCATGGAACAACCTT